AAGGAGAGGGAGTGTTTCTGATCAAACCGCCAAACATTTGATATCTCTGAAAAGCCTTGAATGTGCTCTGAACAGGACAAGCTGTGGCATGTAGAGATTCACTGAAATATGTCCTCAACAGAGAACAAAAGTCTATGCCTGGGTCCCAAATGTAGCATATTTTATATTTTCGCTTGTGCTTAAATTTTATGTAAAATTAATTCAACTTTATGCAAGATACCAACTCTTGCGTGGAGATCCCGCCCCTTCTGGAGTGACCGCCCAGTTCTGAAGGTGTCTGCCGGGTTGCAGTGGTCTCTGCTCTGAGCGGGGGTTAAAAAGTCCGTGCTGTTGTGGCATCACCATTAAACCAGAGCGGTTTCCAAGGTGTAAAATCCTCATCAGAAAGTATGCTGTGTCGTTGTCTTTTGTTCTGGATCTTACTGCGTCGTGCAGGTCGGTACAAAGATTTGATTGACGTTTTGTAACTTAGTATGTCTGTATACAAGACTAGCTTTAATCACTTAAATCTTATGATTTGATTCTTTGGAAATAGTGTTTGTTTTGCCACGAGGGTTAAATTAAACCTAGAGTCGTTCTAGGCTATCCCACCATTTTCTTCGTTGAAAATGCGTTTTGCGTCCCTTTCTCTCTCAGCGAAGTGAATATGTGTGCACTTGTCTAATCAAGCAAACTGTGTGAATTAAAGAAAAGTTCTGTAAGGGTACTTGAGTATAACAAGCAATTTCTCACGTTTTTCTTGCGAACCACTCAGTATGGTTCAAAACGGTCAGATAATGGCGAGCTCATAACAGGTGGAATATGGAAAAATGACCCTCCATTTGAGGTCTGATTCACTTGATTACAATGTTTTCATTAATATCTGTTGACAAAAAGTGGACAGACAGCTTTAAAAACTTAAAAAAGAGCTGCATTTTTGGAATTCCATTATTTATGTTTTAAGGAAATAGTTGTAATGTTTCTTTTAATAATACATTTATACATATCCCGAGTTTTATATTTGAATCTGTTGGAAGCAGGGGCGTCATGTTTTCACTATTTTTGAGGGGGCACGAGTGGGGGGGGATTCGTTTGACACACAGCAGCCACAATAGCACTTATGTTTTATTTATTTTGTCCTTTTTATTCGAAAAAATCCCACACGTGTTCACTAAATCTTGAAATTGGCTCAAATTCGAGTCTATCTCGGGTCTCAAATATGTGTAAATAGTTGCATTTTTCACCTTTATAGATTATGTTGATCTATAATGGGCGATGGTCAAAGTAGCCTAATAATGTAATCTATTAACTATACATAAAAACCTGTCTGTTTACTTAAGTAACAGATATGGGTGTCATGCCATAACATAT